TAAACCCTAACCTATTTTAAAATATATATATATATTGAACCCTTCGAAGTTTTTAAAATTTTAATTTTAAACTTTAAATTTAAAAAAAAAATTAAATTAACCCCCTAAACTCTATCACCAAGCTCCTCTACCGAATATGTCGCTATCGAGAACACGTGTATAACTGTAATTGGCCGAAATAGAAAGTGAGAAATGACCACGGAATGGTATTCCCTTGTGGGGAGGAAAACCTAAAAAGATTCCGAAAGAATTAGAATTTAAGAATCTGAACTCAAATCGAAGCCAATGAGTCATATTCTCAGCGTCTAAGAATTTTAATTCTTAAATTTTGTGGAGGGGGGGGTTTGTTTATTCTTCTCTACCCAAAACCGCAGACAATGGGTTCTCTTCCTTTTTAGCTTAAAAAAAATAGTACTCTTTGGATGCCTTTTCACCATTTCATTGGCTGACAGCAACACCAAACTCACTCGATTCGTCTCCTTTGCCACTTCAATCATCATCTCCTTCTATACAACGTTTAAAAAGTGTTCAAAAACTTCTCACCATATATTTTTTTTTGGGTAAAGTACATAAATGGTCCCCAAGTAAAGGACACTGCTTTATTTAGTCCATCTACTATTAAAAGTTATAAACTTGTCATCCGACTATAGGGTATTATTTTATTCATATGTTCCAACTCGTCCTTTTCCGTTCAAAAATTGACAGTCGTCTGAGCTAGATGTTAACCTGTTGACTGAGATATGATAAAATATGATCCCAAAATCGTTTGAGCTGTATTTTTAGGATTGACCCTCCGTTTATATATATATCGTCGAGCTAGTGTTTGAAATATTATGTTGTCGAGTCAGTGCTTGAAAGCAACGACAGTGTCAGTGGACATCAATAAAATATAATTTTATCATATCTCAATCAACATGTTAACATTCATTTCATACAACCATAAAAAATTTTAACGGAAAAATACGAGTTTGAAACATATGAATAGTTAAGTGATAATTTACTAGTCAATTATTCTGAGTCGTATCTTGTAGAGATTTACCAATCTAATTTTTCCTTGTAGAGATTTATTTCGGAGAGAACTTTCCAATCTAATTTTTACTACTCATAAAGCATGATCCAAATTTTTTTTTTTACTAATTCTAAACCTAATCTTAATCCTACCTAAAGGGAATGAGAAGATGAATTATAGGGGAAAGAAGGGGAGTGCTCCTAGTAGGTCTAGAACTCATGACGTAAAGGGATATAAGGAAATAAAGATGAGCAGCTTGGCCGATTGACTAAATATATTTACTCAACATGATCCGAACTTCTAATCTTAAAACTTAACGTCTCATTCCGTTAAACCGACTAATAATTGATATATGTATGTATATATATAAATAGGTTATGATAAGATTATTCCAGTTTCAGTTGAAAGCAATGATATTAATTTCGTTGCATCTGATACATTTTTCATGGCCAAAGAATATGATTCCAACTTTCATGGGGTGATCATACAAACTTTGAGGTTGGCTCATGACTACTAGCCCCGCCGCCATCCTCATATATCCTCAGCTTTAACCCTATTCTCTTATAAATATTAATCCTCTATTCACGATTTTTTAAAAATAATTTATATTTATGAAAGGGAAAAGAAAATTTTACTCTTAATGTCTATTGAACCCATAATTTTAAAAAATTTAAATGGTATCAACCGAAAACTTTTCATAATCTATTCTAAAAATCGTTCACATCCTCTATTCTAAAAATCGTTGATATACGCTCCAAACTATGTATACGTTGTCAATAAATTTAAAAAATTCTAAACATATATTACTTTATAACCATCTTAAATAATCGTAAAAAACCATATCACCTTAAATATAAATTAATATATGACTCAATGGTACTTTAGGTAACGAACTAAATATAAATTAATATATGACTCAATGGTAATTTAGGTAACGAAGTAGCAGGGAGGGGAGTGCTCCTAGTGGGTCTAGAACTCATGACCTATAGAAATATGAGAAAATAAAGATAAACAACTTACTAACCAGTCATATATATTTACTTAAATAAACTATGAAAAATTAAAATATCAAAATGAGAAAAATATATATATTCCAAGAGTAAATCGTGAATTAAATCTAAACATTTCAAGATTCAGATATTATGTGCATGATCTTTGAACACATGGAGGAATAATGTGAGTGTGGTTCTAGAATTTTTCTTTTACATGATCTCTCTCTTTCTCTAATATTAATCATACATTGAAGAACCAAATCATAAAAAGAGCAACCATATATATCCATTGACAATGGGTCGTCTACATGCATAGTTGCAGAAAGAAGAAGATGCATACGTTGTGCTTCCCAGTAGCCGAATATTAGATCAATGGCAGCTAAAATTTCAAAGGAAATTCAAATAATAATGGAATAATATACATATCATAAAAGTCTGCAGCATTTCATGTAACTATGTCTCACATAATGTTATAACAAGTTTAAGTAAGGAAAGGGAATTATCTTATTAGGGTTTGTAATGGTTTTCTCTTCTTTTTTTCTTTGATCGTCGTTAATCTCTATTTTTCTTCATCTTTATAATCAGCGGCGACACTAATCTTGAAGTTGGTTGTCGACCGTTAGTATTCATTATTTTTTCTTTATTTTATTATAGCATATCTTTGTTTTTTATTGTTTTTAAATTTTTAATAATTCTACCTTTATGACCCGTTTTTTATTGTTCGGTCGTTGTTTTCGTTTATCATTTTTCTCAAAGTTGGATTTGACATCGCTACGACTGATGAAGATGGCGTTTATTTGTTATCATGCTAATCTTCCATGTTTTAACCCTCGAATAGTTTTTTCATGTCGCTCGACTCTGATCCGTAGTTTGTTGGTGGTCTTTCAATATCTTGACCCCCTTTTATGGTTCATTTGTCGATGTAGGTAAATGTTCTTATCTACATTTTGTTTAAGTTTATTTGGTTAGGGTTTTTTTAACCTTTTCCTTATATGATCCTTGTTTGATTTCAAGTGACAAGTTTTCTTGTGTTAATGATTATAGAAAAATATTCTTATTATGTGTTTAGTTTACAGTTGTTTTAATAAAATTGGCTGATTCTATGAAAAAAAGTAAGGAAAAACTATTATTGTTTGAGTTTATTACAACTTTTTAAATATGAAAATTATATTAGATTTGAACCTATTGAGTGACTTTAGTGGTTAAAAGAAATGTTATTCTCCCTTGAGATCGAGTTTGAACAGCTAAGTCTACAGGGTATGTACGTTGGCCAATCACTAAAAAAGATAATAAATATATAATATCATGTAATCACCCTAGACTATTCAAAAGCGATTACATAAATCAATTGAACTACATTTCGAGTTTAAATTCAAATACTTTAATATAAGTGAAATTAACTCCAAGATTCCAATGTTAGGTCATGGCATATGATAGTGATCACTTTATTTTTTTTGCAAATTGAAAACCTAGGACAAAGTGGCCCTAATCTTCTCCCTTCCCAAACACCATCCATCAAGGCTGTCCATTTCATGCACATATTCCCCAAGCCATTTTCATTTGTCGCGGCAACCCAAGTTGTAAAACTATATCCTGTTCAACACTAGGGTTCCTGGTCCAACTGCATCTTCCACTTTTTCTTGCTTTTCTCGTTCTGATCTTCTCCTCCTTCAGTTCCTTTCAGGGATGGATCAAGGAGATATTGAAAGACAGTCGAACCTCTTAAACAATTTTAATTTTTTATATATAATTTAGATATATTTTATAGTTTTTTGTTAATGATTTAATTTCGTATCCTTCGATTTTTTTAATCGAAAGTACGCCTAAAGAGGCTAAAATAATGGAGAGGGGTGTGGTGGTCTTTTTGCGTCTAACGTAACATATTTTGGACAGTCTTGAAGGAGCCGATTTGGTAAGGCCATCGGCGACGGAGTTACCAGACCGTGGAACCCAACGTAAGCAAGTCTCCCATGCATGGCTACGCCAGGCAGCTACAGTTCGGACTAGTGAAAGAGGACTATTCGCTACATTTTTTCCCTAATTTTTTTTAATTCCGTGCCTTTTAAATTTCTAATATAAATTTTTAAAAATTCACTCGACATAAAATTATGTTTTCGTCTCTCATCCTTTTATTTCTTTTTTTATCATATATCATCATACCTTAAAAGTCGAAAAATATTGGGTGTGTTTATTTAAAGACAGAATGACAAAATTAGCACATATCTTTTGATAAAATAGTCATTGATTTCTATTATTTTAAAAAAATTACTTTGACTCCTAACATTTTATTTTTTATTTTGATGTGCGTTCAAGATGTTTATTCTTCACTACCGACAATGATGTTTGTTTGTATTTTCTATTATTTTACGTTGTTTGGTTAATTTTTTTAATTATTTTTCGTGTATTGAGTTTTTTATTATTAAGTGACTAGTTCTCTTCGATGATTTTTATTATTAAGTAGTTAGTTCTTTTAGATGATTTTAAGAAAATAATTTACCGATGTAATTAGTCGGTTTTAATTTTGATAGACTTTTCTTTTTTGAGATTATAGTTTTGTTATATTTCTTTTTATTTATTCAATAAAATTAAATATTTTTATTAATTAAAAAAGTATTTTTATGTGAAAATATTTCAATTTTGTTAATGAATATCTTTGTCGTCAATTTAATGGTAGCAAATAACAAGATTGAAAGATCAAACCTTTGACAATAAATTCATTCATAATAATTTCAAACATACATTCTACTGAAAATGCAAAGAATTATTACATACACACACGTGTGTGTGTGTATAAAGCATTTAATCATGGTGGAGGTCCAAATCCAGGTGGCCCCGGTGGATCCATCGGACCACCAAAACAGTCTCGGAGCAATCAGCAGCAGCACAGAAAGTTCACACTGCAAAAAGATACCAGTTAATACTTAAACAACTTGCAATATTAACATTAACAATTTTCCCTTTGAGTTTGAGCACAAACTCCAGGTTAAACTTACCAAGCACCAATGATGTCACAAAAACCGCCGAAAAATCCCGGTCCCGGGGGCAGAGGGCCACCCCATCCCGGAGGCCCTCCCGGTCCACCTGGTCCCATTTTCTTAGTTTGTGAACTTGCACAACAATGGAGGGAACCAAAACAAGAAAGATTTAAACTTGTCTTACAAATAAAGGGTAAGATGCAAAATTTTGATGGCAACTAGGGTTTTATAGGAAGTTATCTTAACCTAGAAGGATCCATCTACCAACTCACATGTGTATGTGCCATATTTGGACCCATAATTCTCCAACCACTATTCTTAAAACTACCATTCTCAAAAGCTGCTTCTTCATAGTCCCTCATTGAGGGCAATAGATTTTCCTTTCACTTTGACCTGTTTTGCCACCATTTTAGGTGACCATGGAGTAAATAGGTTACATATAATTAATATCATCGATCCAACAACTGTATAATTTTGGCCATTTTTATCGCTATATCAAACCTGCAATAATTTAACAGAGAGAGAGTAACAGATAGCTAACTTTGATCCAAAACTACTGCTTCACTTCAATCTTATGCAAGGTGAAACTATTTACCGGTTGCCTTGAATGAAGGGCTCATCGCCACGGCGGTCACTGAGAACTGAAGAGGAGTCATTATCCAAAATGTCATCATGTCGCTTCACGATTTCTGGATCAAAGAGGAAACAATCATAATCGTCAGTCGTAGTATCTGGCTATTCTCTGTCAAGTGCGCAATTAATCCAAATGGCTTGAACTCACCAAGAACGGCAAGTTGCGAACGCCAAGAGGCATTCTTCCAAGGAGTGAGGCAACTCGATGAGAGGATCAGTTCACTGATTTGAATGAACAAGACAACAATCACCTGTGGAGAACATGTTTTATCGGATAAAACAAACATATAGTGCAATACATTGAATATTTTGGCAACAATAAAGGAACAATTAACCATAAATATCAGCCAAGGAAGAAAGGGATCCAGAAAAAAGAAAATATACATAACAGTGGTAACTTATACTTAAAGTTTCAACAAATTAGAGAAATTCTTGGGGGTAAAAAAGAATGAAAAAAGTAAAGAAAAATTGATTTCAACCCTTGAATACATTTTTTAAACAAAACAATACATTCTTCTAAAAAAAAAAAAAAAAACCTATTAAATATACTTGCATTAAGCAGCAGTTAAGACTCCATGAAAACAATGTCAGCAAAATGCATTCATCTGCTCTCATAGATCTCTTTCTTTATGTATGCAGTGCGAGTTTAAAGTATGCTTTTCTTCCCTTTAACAAGGAAGTCGCCACTTTTGTCCTTTTGGGATCCTGTAGGAGGCTTAGATGGTCCGTGTGAATTGCCTGCAACATGCTTCTTTCGCCTTGGAGCACCCATGCTGGTAGAGTCTACCAATGGACCGGACCAAGTTTGGATAGGTTCTTTTGAATAAGTGAAAGACGTGGAGCTGAAAGGGACATCGGGAGGAACAAACGATGGATCAATGTGCTGTGATGCTCCTAAAGGAAAGCCAAGCCTGCCGTCCTGGTGCGGTGGGGGAAACTTTTCACTTTTGCTCTTTGCATTCGCATGGTTAATTAAGCGTCTTCTCTGCTTCACAAGGGAGGAAAAAAAACCCCAGAGAATTAGTTAAAACATCAAAACTACATAATAGTAGTAGTTGACAAAAGTAAATTATCACATACATCAAGATTAGACTGAAGCTCAGCATTGGCTTCTGGAGCAGGAATCCCCCTTGCACGATCACATGTCCGAGTCTTTCTCGCACCATCACCCTGGGCTTTACTAGCAGCTCTGAGTCTGCAGAATTATACCAGAAACAGAAAGGGTTATACTAGATAGACACATGACGGTGCTTTCAAATGCAAACTTGCGTGGTCAAAATTCAAATGGAACCAATAATGAACACTGAATGAAATACTAAACTTTGAAGCCACCGCAGTAGCTCTCATATTGAACAATTCAAATATTATCGCACATGGTTAACAACACTAGAGTATCAACCTTTCTAGAAAAAAAATTAAAGTTCCTCGGGAAGAATCATTTAACACATTCCAGAATTAAGTAAAATAAGATCCAAGAAAACCTGAACCCATGTATCTGTGCATGCAAACTGCATCAGTTAGTTTATACGATTCTCTCTATCTCTGGAAACTACAAACAAATCGATGGGAAAGGAGTTTTAAACAAGGCATGTGCCTAAGGGTCGATATCGTTCTAATACATATGCATAGAAGTGGATATACCATCTCCTTTAGTCATCAAAATCCAATGATTGAACTCTATATAGTGGAAAAGTAAAATAATTGACCTCCGAGCTTCATCATCTCGTCGTTTTGCGTCCATCTCTTTGCTGGGTGGATATTTTGGGAGGCTCGAAGGCTCACAAGCAAAAGGCTCCGTATTAAAGAACTGGACAATAAAGATAAAATGGTAAAAAAAAACACTTCTAAGAAAGGGAATCCTTAGATATATAAAGTCAAAAGATGCCAAGAGAAGGTAGAACTTTATATTGTTCACATAAATCAAACAACTCACTTCACTTCTCAATGCAGCAGTGGCAGTCAAACGTTCCACTGGATCAATTGCAAGTAGAGTGTCAATGAGGGGGCAGCGATGATGCTGGAAAATCTTTAAATGTCTCTTTTATGCGTCTTTTATATGGCTCTTGAGGCCTAAATAAGGTTGCGTTTGGCAACTTTGATTTTTTCCAGTATTCATCTGATGGTGAACCACATAACTTGTATATTTTATGTAGTTGCTCTACCTACTCGATCATAAAACGATACACAAAGTTAGTAATTACAAGTGGTGGTACAACTACAAAAAATTGCCTATTCATGTTCAACATGCGGTGAACAAAAAAGATAGGATAAATTTTCAAGATTTGATACTGCAATTTCTTGGTTGCAACAGAGTAGCAATTTTTAAAAAAATTTAACTTAAATAAACAAGCAACGATGCAAAAATATCCTCCTATATTCTTGCACAGCCATATGGGAAATAATGCAAAGCATGATGAACTGAACATACAGAAAATTAAGCAAAATCTACCTCTGTTCGACCAGGCATAATGGGCTTCCCAGCCAAGAGCTCAGCTAAAATGCATCCTGCACTCCAAAGGTCCACGCCAACACCATAATCTGTAGCACCAAGAAGAAGCTCAGGGGCTCGATACCACAGAGTTACCACCCGACTAGTCATTGGATGCTTGCGGTTTGGGTCAAAGAACGTTGCCAACCCAAAATCAGCAATCGTAAGAACTCCTCCATCATCAATAAGAAGATTAGACCCCTTAATATCACGGTGAAGCACTCCACGGTTGTGACAGTGCTCAAGGCCAGAGAGTAGTTGATTCATGTAGCATTTAACCTATGAACACACATTTTAACCATACTTCTAGGGTCACTACCTAACCATACATGTAAACCATGGGTTTTACAGTAATTTAAATCAAAAGCCAAGTTGGAGCTAACCTGCGGCTCTGAGAACTTTACTATTGGGCTTGCCGCAAGCCCAGCCAAATCATGCTCCATGTACTGAAATACCAAATACAAACTGCAAGACATCCTTGAAGTAACTAAACCTTCCAATTTTACAACATTGGGATGATCCAACCTCCGCAATATGAGAATCTCTCGAGCCATGAATTTCACGCTCTCGGGTTCAAGATTATCAAAACGAACCTTCTTTAGTGCAACAATTTTACCTGTTACCATATCTTTAGCTTTGTACACGTTGCTGTATGTTCCTGAGCCAATCTACCATCAGTAAGGAATGGTAAGTATCTGAATCCAAAATACCAACTTCAAAAGCATCAACAAATGCAGAAAGGGCAATACAATTAAAATGCATTCGAGCTGATGTAACAAACGGCAACTGCTTCCATTTAAAGACAAAACCATCCATCCATATGCCATACATTAATAAACAAAGAACACAACTAGAACAACATATATCACTATCATATCAAAACAAACTACATTTTACAACATCATCACGAAATAAGGATAAATAACACAAATATTGAACGAAAACAGAAACCGGCCACCTTATCGATCTTCTCAAAGGTGTCAGCCTTCCGTGGAATCCATCCATTAAGCGCCTCCCCGCAGGCATCCGATAGCCATGAAGGCCATCCAGCTGCCACCTGCTCTCCTCTCGAATGCTTAGGTAGGTTACTCAACCTAGGGTTTGCCTTTGACCTTCTTCTTTCACCCTTTTGTTTCCTTTCCCCATCAGATTTTTCCTCCTTTTGGGCACCATCATTTTCAACCACAACACCACCATCATCGGTCTTCGAGACTGGGACTTGCTCTACTTTCCTATTGGATTCAGAGGTAGCATTTCTACTGGCTCTAGACTCTGAAACAATCCCAGAAGATACCTCCCTTCCAAAAAACACACCCCATTTCTTAAATCTAGGCCTCATTTCCCAACATATTAAAATATGGGTCTTGCTCAAAATGAACAACAAACCGACAAAAGATTAACTACCCACGAATCAAGCAGCTTCAGGAAGTGTGATCAAGCTGATAAATCTGCACTCTAAAAAAGCAAAAAAAAATGTTGACTATTATTTGAAATCACTAGAAAATAAACCCAAGTAAACTAACAATCTAAACTCTAACATAAGCTAAGAATTCACTGTGCAAAAAGAAACATAAAACCCTACCCTTTTCACAGCTAGATTTGGGAAGTTCAAGATTCAGCAAGAAATCAAAAACAGAATGAAAAAATATGATCTTGGAGATGAGTAGAAGAGGGAAATTTGAAAGGTTCCAATAAGAAAGCTTGGGAAGTCAAATGCAAAAATGATCTGAAAGTAGAACAAAGAAAAAATTATAAAAAAAAGTGTCTTTTGATGGAGTTGGGTTACTGGGTTGGGTTTTTGTTTTTAAAGAGAATGAAAAATTGATACTTACTTTGGTTGAATCTGAAAGAGAAACAGAGATTTTCTAATGGCTTCAGTGTTTGATTGGTAAACTGGTTTTTGCCCTCTTTTGTTGCCTGTCCTGGACTTTTCCCCTTTTATTTTTTTTATTTTTTATTTTTATATATAAAAAACATTTGAAAAAAAAAGGAAAAGAAAATGAGAGTAAGTATAGATCTAATTATTGTCATTAGCTACTAAAGCTAAATGTATTATGTATGAGATAATTTTTTTAATTTCATTTTTTAAAATAATATATATTTTTAAATTTATATTGTTTAATTTAAATATAATAATATGTTTTTATTAATTAATAATTCAAACTAAGTTGAACTAATCCATTTTTAAAATAAAATAATTATATATTTTGACCTGAATTGAACCAATCTATGATCTTCAGGAATAACAACGATTCTTTTAACAATTTAGGTGTTAAATAGTGTCAATTATACTTTTAAATATATTTAAAAGTAAATTATAAGACACTTATATTATTTAAACATCATTTGTTGAGTTGTGTTTTTTCTACTGATAGACTGATAATGTATCAAATAATAATTTTATAAAATTAGTTATAATAGAATTTAATTTTAATTATGGTGTGAGTAATTTTTATTAATTAATAATTCAAACTTTGTTGAATTTAAATATAATACTATGTTTTTATTAATTAATAATTCAAACTAAGTTGAACTAACCCATTTTTAAAATAAAAATAATTATATATTTTGTCCTAAATTGAATTAATCCGTGATCTTTAAGAACAACAACAATTCCTTTAACAACCGAGGTATTAAATGGTGTCAATTATACTTTTAAATATATTTAAAAGTAAATTATAAGACACTTATATTATTTAAACAACATTTGTTGAGGTATTTTTCTATTGATAGACTGATAATGTATCAAATAATAATTTTATAAAATTAGTTATAATAGAATTTAATTTTAATTATGGTGTGAGTATTTTTTTTAAAAAAATAAATAAAATAGTCAATTGATCGTTTTATTCATAAAATAAGTAGAATATTCCGTTGGATTTTGCATTAAATTATTGAGGATAAGTTGAAAAGGAAAGGTAAGGTGAAATATGCAATTATTTAAAAAAAGGAGACATGTTTAGTGGATTG